AAAAAAAAAAAAAAAAAAAAGAAAAGAAAATTACAGGCCAATATCCCTTATAAATATACAAAAATCCTCAACTAAATACTAGCAAACTGAATTCAAAAATACATTAAAAGGATCATCACTACAACCAAGTATGATTTATTCTAGGGATACAAGGATGGTTCAACATCTGCACATCAATGTGATATACCACATTAACAAAAGGAAGGGTGAAAAACATATGATCATATCAATAGATCGTGAAAAGCATTTGACAAAATTCAATATCCATTCACGGCAAAAGCTCTCACAAGGTGGATAGAAAGGAAACATATCACAACATAGCAATAGCTATATATGACAAACCCACAACCAACATTATAATCGTAAAAAGCTAGAAGCTTTCCTCTATGATCAGAAAGAAGATAAGAGTACCAGCTCTCACCACTTTTATTCAACATATTACTAGAAGTCCTAGGCAAAGCAATCACACAAGAAAAAGAAATAAAAGGCAAGGCATCCAAATTGGTAAGGAAGAAGTAAAAGTGTCACTGTTTGGAGATGACATGGTACTATAAAAAGAAAACCCCAAAGACTCCACCAAAAAATACTGGAACTAAATGAATTCAGTAAAGGCCAAGGATACAAAATCAATATACTAAAATCTCTTGCAGTTCTATATATAAATAATGAACTAGCAGAAAGAAAAATTAAGAAATCAATTCCATATACAACTGTATCGAAATGAAAAAAATACCTAAGAAAATACCTAACCAAGTTAATGAAGACCTGTACTCTGAAAACTGTAAGTCATTGATGAAAGAAACTGAAGATGGCACAAATAAATTGAAAGTTATTCCATGCTAATGAGAAGGAAGAATTAATGTTAAGTGTGGCCATAAATATATACATATTAATATAAGTATGGCCCCAAAAATATACAGATTACTGCAATCCCTATCAAAATAAAAATGGCATTTTTCACAGAACTAGAGCAAACAATGCTGAAATTTGTATGGAAACACAAAATACCTCAGAATAGCTAAAACAATCTTGAGAAAGAACAACAATGTTGGGTAATCACACACCCTGATGTGAAACTATATTAAAAGCTACAGTAATCCAAACAGTATGGTACTGCTCCAAGAGTAGACACAAAGGTCAATGGAACAAAATGGAGAGCCTAGAACTAAACCTACACTTATATGGTCAACTAATATATGGTAAAGAAGACAAGAATATGCAGTGGGGAGAAAAAAGTCTCTTAAATAAATGGTGCTGGGAAA